GTGTAGAGGAGTGGAGATTGGAAATAATGGGTTCTCAACTTCCCACCTTCAGTATATTGATGACACGATTTTATTCTATAACTCAAGTTTAGAAAATCTTTTAGTGCTGAAAAGGATGTTTTTAAGGAGTTTTGGGTCTCAAATTTAATTTTCACAAGAGTCACTTGGTTAGCATAAGAGTTGAGCAAGACACACGTTTACTTGGGTAAAAAAGATTTCATGTCTGGTGAGGTCACTTTCAACCACTTACTTGGGGTTACCTTTGGATGTTAATTACAAGTCAGCATCTTTTTGAAAACCGATGTTGGATAAGGTCGAGGCTAAACTTGCTGGTTGAAAGGCAACGACTCTTTCTTTGGGAGGGATAACAATATTGCTAAGGTCAATATTGGCAAGTTTGCCAACATTCTATATTCCTTGTTACAAATTCCAATCAATTTGAAAAATGATCTTGAAAAAATGCAAAGAAAATTCCTATGGGGGTACGAACGACAAAAGGAAGATTCATTATGTTGAGTGGAAAAAGCTATGTAATTACACATAGTGTGATGGCTTAAGGGTGATTGACTTAGAAATGAAGAATAAGGCATTGTTAAACAAGTAGATTTGGTGAATTAAGGAAGAAAAAGATAGTTTGCGGAAAGAGGTTTTGATTAGAAAAACTGAAGGTGACTGTACTGTCTTTTACTAAACATTAGTGTAGATAGAAAAATGTCAACTTTGTGAAAGAAAATTAATAGCCCCCTATCTCCGACTTAACAAAATTTTCTTGCAAGTACAATTTAACACTTGTTTCGCCATTAGCAATGGTGAAAATTGAGGTTTTGGCAAGATGAGTGGATTAAAGGGAACATTTTGGCGCAATCCTTTCCAAGGATTTTTGCTTTGGTTGAAAATAAAAAAACAAAGAGAGATTAGTGAATTCAGGAAATGAGAAGATGAAAAATGAATTTAGACTAGCGAACTTAAGAAACAGCTCTTTTGGGAAATTACACTATGGCTACGTCAAAAAGTGCTACGAGAGTTTTAGGTAAGCAAAGAGTTAAAAGATGAACTCATATGTAAAAAGAAGCAAATGTGAGATACACCGCAAAATCTTTCTGTAAGTATACATTTACCACTGCTGATAATAATGATGGGATTTGAAAATATGTTTGAGCAAATTTAGCCCTTTATAGAATCGAGATCTTTGTTTGGCAATTGTTGCATGGCAAAATTGGAGCCAAGAATGAACTTATTAAAAAAGGAGTTAATGTAGTGTGTTTTGTGTAACATGGAGGTTGAATCCTATAATCATCTATTTGCTAAATGTAAAGAGACTTGGAAAGTATGGGTGGGGAGGCATAGATTTTTGGGTGCAATTTAGGTATCCCCTAGAAATGTTAAAGGGATATTGGAAGCATGAAACAAATGCCATCTAGGAAGTTTAGACAAAATGACTTAGAAAATGACATTCTTTGCAATAGTATGGAATATATAGAAAAATATGAATGAGATGGTCCTTAAAAGAAGTGAGTGAGATGCAGAAAGATGTTTGTTGATGGCTAGAATTAGAATGGCTTAGTGGGCAAATGCTAAGTGGCCTAGGGAATTTCTATCAGTGTTAAATGTGTATAGACAGCTTGCTATACAAGGTCAACCACAAAATAGAAGACAAGAAAGAAAAGGGATCGATTAGGAGTACCCTTAAAATGGACAATTGAAATTCAATGTCGATAGGGCAACAATGGAATGCTCAAGGCCAATTGGAATAAGAGGTGCTTTAAGAAACTCAAGAGGGTAAGTTAAATCCTTATTCTCTATTTCAATCGACATTGCAGATTCAAATCTCGCAAAAAGTATTGGCAATAATGGTGGTTTTCCTCATTTTTACAACATCACACTAGAAAAAAAGTCAATGACTTCTCACTGAGAACTATTCAAGTAATGCGGTGAAATGGATCAAAGATGCAAACATGACACCTTCGAGAATAAGAAAATCGTTGCTGCAAATTGAAAGAATGAAAAAAGAATTGACTAGGTGGGACCTAAGACACATTTTGAAGGAGGCCAATCAAAGAGCAGCTAATCTTGCCAAGGAATGAGTATTTCAACAAATGGATATCTTGAGAGTGTTTAAGTAAGCTTTGGAGTTTTCTTGCTGGTTTATGTCTTTGCTGAGTTGTTAATGTGTATAAGTGGAGCTAGTTGCTTTCAGAGGGAGAACAAGATGCTTGTTTTTGTTCAAAGCTGGAGTGTTTTACTAGGTACGATTGAGATTGACAAGTTAGGAATTTTATCTTTGAGTATAGGGAAATAGGTTATGTAATTTTGTTGATCATTGGTGCATTTACTTGTAGATGAATGCTAGGGTTGAGGTTTAGTTCCCTAAGTTTTTTTGTTCAGTCAAGGGTTGTTTTCTTGTTGCTTACTTTAGTAGGATGCGAATTTTGTGAAGTGTTTAGATTTGGGATGTGATGTTTTTGAAGGTCATGTGCTAAGCTAAAGAATATTAGGAAATATACTTACAAATAGGAGTATATGAACTAAATTCTTTTCTTTTCTACACATGTTTCCCAATGTAAAGAGTAAAGGGATTTCTATTCCCTTCTTATGAAATGAAAGTCATATTTTACCTTTTTAAAAAAATTAATATTTAACTCAAAATATTAAAAATATTAATAATTAGCTTTAAAAAATTTTTAACCTAAAATATTAATATTTAAATTATTCAGTACTATTAAAATTAGAAAATATATTTTTAAATAAAATCATCCAATGCAATTTACTATTTTTATGTATAAATTGAATAAATCTTACTAATAATTATAATAAAAAGTATTTCAATGATCATCATTTAATGAATACACATTTACAAATATAGATTTTGAATGTTTTACACAAATTGATAAATATTAATATTTTTATAGTTTTATGGTAAAAACAAATGGTGAGATGGAAATCTTTTTTAAAATTAAAACTTACTTTCATTACAATATATGGTTAAATGTTTGGAAAATATAATTATAAAATTTTCCTTTTTTATTTTTAATCTTAACTTTAATATGAAAACCAAAAGATAATGTTCTTTTGTAATCAATTCCTATTTATCATTTCAATACCCAAATAACCCCACAACTAATATTAAAAAATATTTCCTACAAAATGATCCAAACAATAAAATATAGTTTTTACAAGATTATTCAAATAATAGAAAATATTAAATTTTTTCATAAAATATTTTACATAAAAAAAATTTCTCTCTAACAAATTATTTTTCAATTACTAAATAAATTTTAAATAAAATTCTTTTTGCACTTGACAGATATAGTTTTTGAGATAAAAACATGAATGGTAACAGCCCACGTATTCCAAAGATAGGGCTTGGCTTCTCCCAATCTGTTCAGCAATCTGTCAAGCCAAGTGTCGACATCTAGGACCGAGAACGAAGGTCTCATCGGGTGGCATGACCACCATTGCTTTCTTCGTACTTTTGTTGTTGTTGCCATTACTATTACTCCGGTTGCTTGCTTTCATGACCACTATTCCAAAGATATACGCTATGCTTTTTTCACGCACGATATGAAATTTTTTCATTATTATTTTTTCATATTTTTTGTGAAAAATAGGAATTTATAATGTGATATGAATAACAAAATGAAAATTTAATAGAGTCTAATTTGATGTTTAATTTAAAATTAGTTGATATCAAACAAAAAATTAATTAATTTTAAATTAAATATTACATTGCAAAAATTCAATAAAACAAATACTATCTCTCAAAAAAATAAAAATAATGCCCATGGTTTTGGACATTCAAGATTCTAAGTAAATGAAATATATATCATGATTCATCAAATTTTTCTTCTTGCAAATAAACATGATTGCAATCAAACACTTTTAAAAATATTTTCAAATTAACTACTTTAAAAATGATATAATATTCAAAAAAATTTTGAACTATTTAAGAAAATTTTAATAAACTCTTATTATTTTATTACATTCAATAAAATTTTTAACTTTATTTTGAGTAAAATAAACCATTATAACTAATGGTTAACTAATTGTTATTAATGAAATTATTCATTGTCATTTTATAGTCACGTCATATCAATATATCACGTTAGTGTCAAGTCCACACCACATGGTATTAAATAATATATGAGATTTTAACTAAATCAATCATTAGTCATAAGAGTTTATTTGATTTAAAAGAAAAATATAAAAACTTATTTTGTTCAAAATAAAAGTATAAAAACTTAATTGAACGTAATAAAAATATAAAGACTTATTTAAATTTTTTAAAAATAATTTAGAAGCTTTTTTAGATAATTCAAATCTTATTTGGTAATGCAAGATACCCAATTACAAGATACCCATTTTTACACCTTTAGTCAATAAATGAAATATATATTACATATCATAATTTTTCTTGTTGTGATTGCAATCAAACACTTTTTAAAATATTTTCAGATTAATTGCCAAAATACGTTTTCCTTAACATTGTTTTTTTAGCAAAAATATAGTTTTCCAAAAAGGAAAAGAAAAAGGAGAAAAATAAAAGGGAGAAGGGAATAAAAATAGTAAATGAATGGTACACAAGTAAATCATTAATTAAGGATATATAATCGGTTAGCAGTCTTTTTCCACGACGGGCACTACAAAAGGAATTTAATTAAATGCACAAGCGCAGGAAGGCGGAAAAGGGAAAATAAATATATAGTTAAAACTGTCAAAACAAATTTTATGTACTATAATACTATACTCTTTCCTATTTTTATCTATATTTTAATATTACAAATTTATTTTTTATATTAAAATCTACTAAAAATAATATAATAAAAAAATTTTAAAAAAGGAAAAACTAATAGTATTTATGTTTCAAAATCCCCATAAGAGGAGGGTAGCGGTAGCAGCCTAGGAGATGTTAAAACATGAAAAAAGAGAAAGAAAAATCATAGTATTAATTAAAGAGAGGGAAAAGGCAGGAAAGGCAGCTCTGGCGGTCACAAGATTTTCTCTTTTTCTTTGCACCTAACAGGAAATGCATTTCACTCAAATTTCAAATAATAAAGTACAAATGAAGGGGAATACATAGATGATCACATTCATATCATTATTAATACAACTTTTTTTTTCTTTTTTTTTTAATTAAAGTCTTTAACCACACCAATATTTGCGAAATTTATATTTTGAATTTTTTTTTCCCCGAAGCCAAACAAGGACCTCACTTTGTTTTTTTTTTTTTTTTATCCGATCTTCCGTTGACTGGTTAGTGAGTTGCCACCGTGGGGATGCTGTGTAGCACAACGGTTTCCACAGTGAGACCTGGCCCGAATCCGAAAAGGACACCCCACTCCAAGCCTTCACCGGTGGTGGGCTTCCCTTGCTCCAGAGACTGCTTTCTCATCTCATCCAAGATGAACAACACACATGCACTTGACATGTTGCCGAACTCACTCAGCACATGGCGGGTCGCCTTGAGTTTCTCTTCTTTGAGACCCAGTTTGGCCTCGACTTGGTCCAGAATTGCAGGGCCACCAGGGTGAGCGATCCAGAAGATTGAGTTCCAGTCGTTAATGCCAATTGGAGACAATGCTTCGACCAAGCTTTCTCTATGTTCTTTTGAGATTAATCCGGGTACATCTTTCAACAAGTGGAAAGTGAGGCCGACTTCACGTAAGTGTCCGTCAATGGCTCCATCTGAGTCTGGCAAGATTGTCTGAGCTGCTGATACAAGCTCGAACAGTGGCCGTTCGATTTTGGTATCAGGGTCGGCGCCTACGATGATGGCCGCAGCGCCATCGCCGAAAAGTGCTTGCCCCACCAGGGAGTCCAAGTGCGTATCAGAGGGTCCACGGAAAGTGACAGCAGTGATCTCGGAGCAGACCACGAGAACACGAGCGCCCTTGTTGTTTTCAGCCAAGTCCTTGGCGACTCGGAGCACGGTTCCACCAGCAAAGCAGCCTTGCTGATACATCATGAGCCTCTTAACAGAGGGTCTCAGCCCCAAGAGCTTGGTAAGTTGGTAGTCTGCACCAGGCATATCTACACCAGATGTAGTGCAGAAAACAAGGTGGGTGATCTTAGATTTTGGCTGTCCCCATTCCTTGATGGCCTTTGTTGCGGCTTCTTTCCCCAGCTTTGGCACCTCCACCACAACCATGTCTTGGCGGGCGTCAAGAGATGAAGCCATGTAGGCGCACATGTTTGGGTTTTCCTTGAGGATTTCCTCAGTCAGGTACATGTAACGTTTCTTGATCATTGATTTGTCACCTGTTGGGGGAAAAGCAAAGATTATTCATGGAAATCCTCCGGAGGGAGTGCAAAAACCAATGATATCACAATATATATATATATATATATATATATATCATATTCACATTCCTTGGACAAGATAAAGTATTATATCTTGATTGGATTTATATATTTTCGAATCCCAAAGAAAGAAAAGAAACGATCAGAAGGTAGCTAACCACGAGGTAGCGATGCTTGAAACAGTCACATGCATAAATGAGAAAATAAACACAGAGAGTAGTATCTAGGGAATGGTTCTATGTACTAGTAGTACATAAAAAATATGCGTACACATGCGCTTGAATTTCTCTTTGAGCTCGGTCAAGTGTTCGCTGTTGGTGATACGGAAGTAGTAGTCAGGATAGTCAGCCTGGGAAACGCAGTTGGGAGGAGTGGCGGTTCCAATGGCGAGGACGGTGGCTGGACCCTGGGCTCTTTGGGCCTTTCTGATCTCCTCAACGGAAGCCATTGCCATTTTGGGTGGTTGGTTGACGAGTAGCTAGCGCTCCCCAAGTTCCAAAGATGGAGGAGATAGCAAAGTCTACTTGACTGCCCTTTACGCAAGTGGAAACTGGAAGTGACAGGTGGAGTATTGGGATTTCTCAAGTAGACTGTATCGTACTAGGAAAACCCCTGCGTCGGTGTGGGAGTAGGATGGAGGCCGTGGGCGGGGATTTATATGGGAATGGGTAGGTTGGATGGACGGGCAGCTGGAGGCCACGTGAGTGTGCGGTAGGCTGCTCCAAGAGGTGGTAGCTGTGCTGCCACATCTCTGTTACAATTCTTTCTTTCTACTACTGTTGCTATTACTCTACTCCCATTTTCGTCTGTTTCTCCAATTTCAAGTTTGGTACATGATGCATTAACATTACTATTTCTTAATTTATCTCCTTTGTTAAGTATTAAAAGAAAACAAAAATATCAATGATCAAGTAATCACAATATACACTCAATTTAACATTGTTTTAAATGATCAATTTCGGATGATATGTAACAGATTGAGAAGAGACTTAGAAAAAGAGGAACCGTTACATGATTGCCACATAATTTTTTTAGTGCCAATCATATGCAATTGTACCTCAAATTTGTTTAATTTATTGGTTTTTTTTTTAAAAGTCAATTTATTGGTAATTAATGTGGTACATCTGCAAATTTATGAATAAATATGTTTCACCAAATACAATTAGATCAGTATCCCATTAGAAGTTGGACTCTGTTAGCATGGTTGACTAACTGGTTTGAATACATAACCTTTTTTTATCTTATAGTATAATCATTCCTTGTGTTGATCGGTTAGGTTTACTTGTTCGTCTTGGGTGATGCTTTTGTGTGGCCGGCCATGAGTTATTTGTTAGTAGGTTTTGGACCAATTTTAGTTTGGGATTTTATTAATATTATATATATATATATATTTATATTCTTGGCACACATGGGGCATATACACATATATAGTAATATATTATACGGCCAAATTAAACTAATTTCTATTTTAAATTAAATTAGATTTTCTTAGTCCAACTGAGATTATGATTTTCTCTTTCGTCTATTTTTTTCCCTTATTTTCAGTAAAGATTATTGCACTGTTTCTCTTTCGTTTTGTTTTAATTAGTTAATAACGTTTTTTTTTACTAATATTTTTAAATAGAAATTTTGGATTTTTTTAAATTTGTCTTCGCTTACTTTATTAAGTTGGGTTTTTCAAATTAATATATGGTTGCAAGAAAGCAACATCATATGTATATATATATTTTTAAAGTCAGGCAAGACAAAGACTTAAGTTGTCAATTGGGTGTCGACAAAGAGAAGTCCTTTTACAAGAAATTGATTGAAGCAGCATCAAAATACATATACATGCATTCAGATAGAATCCATGATCTCGATGATACAATAATCTTTCCTTTCTAGGAATTGCTGCTGCTGCTCCCCCATCTCAATTTTATTTGCCCAATTCCATCTCTTAAATGAGATGATGCTGCCAGAATATAAACAATTGCCACTTGACTATAATTAATGGCAATCTTATGATGTTTAATCGGGTTTATTACGTTTGTAATTTCAATTTTTTCATATATAATAATTGACTCTTTTTTTTCTTTTAAATTAGTACAATGTGATATAGATTTTCTCTTAAAAAGAGTTGTGTGTTAATTTAAAAAAATATCATAATATAGAGGAAATATTAAAGTATTTTTTATGTCATTTCAGAAAAATACTAATTAATGGATCACACGCAGATATACTTCATGGTGCAAGATGTTCATCGGACTCTCTTTGATGTCATTTCATCTTTTGATGGTAATGTAGAGTGCGAGGATGATACGGCATGGTTTGTCGCATTAAGGGAGGCTTTTCATGTTGGAGAACAAATAAATCAAAATGTTGAAGATAAAATTACTGTTAAGTTGCTGAATTTGTGTTGTAGTGTGAGGCTTGGGCGTTATACTCTAGATCCACTTCCTTCCTATAGTACATTATGATTGTTTGTAATTTATATATATTAATAAAATATTTCAATATTTGATTCATTAGTTGATGTATAATTTTTTTATTTAAAAAACAAAATTCGTATCCCACTTTCCTCAATTTTAAAAAAAATACTAATGTCTTTTTTCTCAAGAATAATTAATAAGTTGGAGCAATTAGGTAATGCATGAATGTTCTAATTAGGAAATGTATGGAATTATACTACCATTTTACTGGTAATTAATAATTAAATCTTGCACTGATGTAAGTAAATGGAAAGGGAACTTTCAATGGATTGGCAAGTAGCCAAGAGGAGAGAAGAGAAGAAAGAAAGCAACTGCCATGCAGAAAACATGGGAAATTTTAGAAAGAAGAGGAAGATGGGAGGCAGCCAGCCCTAATGTTTAGTATCTGTCCTGTGGAATTGTGTTAGGTTAATTTGTTCGTTATGTGTTTTGTGCCCCATCGGCCACAAGAGCCAAGAGGCTAGTCTCCCTTCACTCTGTCTCTCACCTACCCTTCCGGATACTCTAATTAGCTATCTAGTACAGCTATTATACCATATATGTTAAGCTTCAACATCTGTCATTCAATTAAGACAGTAAATAAAACTTTACTTTTTTATTTTTTGTAATATATATATATATATATATATAATGTCAAGTTCAATCAAATCCTGCTCCATGCATCTTTCACTTAACCTTTGTATGGTTTTTTGTCCATTAAATGACCATTTTTTGATGTAGGGTCTTTGGATTTTTGCAAAATTTAAGGAATTAATTTAATTTGATTTGATTTTTTTCTTTTTTATTCTAATTTTTTGTAAATAAAACTTTTAATTTGATCAAAGTACCTCACAAGTTCTTGTACTATAAATTTTTTATCAAATTAATTCTTCTATCTTAAAATTAATTAATTTAATCTCTATATTTTCTTTTTCTTTTCTCCTTTATTCAATATTGAGTCATTCATTCTGGTGAGATTATTTAAAGCACATTTATTTATTTATTTTTTTCATTTTTCCTTCTTTCCTTCTCTCTAGCTCTCTTATTTTTCTACCCTGCCCTTCTCTTACCAAGGCCGACCCCCAAACCTAGATCCTGGTTGCCGGCAACGATTGCTATCGGTCACTAATCCCCGGTCGGCGAAAAGGGCAGTAGAATATTTTTTTTATCAAATAATTTTCATTAAAAATAGTTTTTGATAAAATTTATTCAATTTATATATAAAAGTTCTTATTGCATTCATAATTTACAGTTTAATATTGCGAAATTTCAAATATTCAGTTTGCACAAACGTGACAACGAATACTAATACGTGTAAACTTATGCAAAAGGTACATGCATAATCTTCCAGTTCTCTGTGATTCCAGTGAGTGACGAATCTGTGGCAAGTTGAACTCCGAACACAAGAACTAATTAACAATTTGCAAAACCATGCTGTTGGCAGTGGCCAGGGCAAGGGATGCATCAATGGATAAGTAAGTAACCATTGTGAGCCGACTGATCCTATGACCGGAGATCGGAATTGCTTGATTTGTTTCGTCTACTACTACTGGGAATTATGTTTAAGTTCTGTGTAGTGATCTGCACAAATTTGGTAAGAAAACTCATCAACTGTTGAGATAGTCACGGACCAAGCATGCGTTGCTTATATCTATCTCATCTTCTTAGTTAGCATTGTCGTGCAGGTAAAGAACCATCGTGCATGCCTCTTGCGTGGTGCTGACATTTGTATTTACATTCGTGAATCAACTCTCTACCTTCTTATATATAAAAACCTGAGAGCCATGGCTGAGGAAATCCAAGAAGGGTAGCTGCTAGAGGTGGAGAAATAAATGGGAATGGGTCCAGTTCGCCTGGGATCAAACGCAGTGGCTCAAGTAGCAGCACTGCTCTTGCTGATATCCATAAGCGTGACCGCAGCATCTGCACAACTGAAGACCCAGAATCCCTGGGCGCCAAAAAAACTGGGCGATTGCCAAGGAGGCATCGACGGCGCCGTCAGCTGCGAAGTGAAGTGTAATTTGCTAGGCTGCATGGCAGGATGTCTAATAAATAACCATCCGGGATGCGTCCTAGCCTGTTTAGCCGAAAATATTAGTTGCCAGAGTACCTGCAGCTTTGTTCCATTTCCACCAGACCCATCACCACCGCCAGCACCACCAGCACCACCAGCACCTCCACCGAAGGCCTGAATGAGTGGATGGACGGACGGCGTTTCTGTATTACGTATTTGTTGCAAACAATTGCATGTCTCTGAAATAAATAAAAATGATAATAAGTAGCAACGCCACTAGACTAGTCCTCTATAGAGCTAGTGTTCCCATATAATTGATTTCTACGTAGATTGTGTCTTGAACTGTATTGTATCATGGATGAGGGGATGCAAAAATATGTAGTAAAGAATTCTGTTTTTGCAATAATATCTGATGATTGTGCCAAGGCCAGGGACATGCATTAATATTTTCTTTCTTGTTGCAGTCAGTGTGCGAGTATGGGCAGGACTCTGACGCTACAGATGACAAGGAAACGCCTTTGCTAATCGCATAATGAGAACATAACCCCTGTTTGCCTGCTTAGCTCCATCTGATACCGCGTCAAAACAGGAAACTTCCCTATTTCTGATGTGCTTTTAGTTCCATTAATGTCAAACCCATAACCGAAGTTTCAAGATCTCGCAGAGCGGCAAAATTCACATCACTGTGTAGTAGAATGAGACACCTTTTATGAACCTTTGAAATGCATTTTATAAGATAAAACCATGACAGAAAATCGACCCTGTGCCATTACTATTTACACAAATCATAATATCAAATAATTCAGGAAACTGGGTATTTGATCCCACTACCGGTACAAACAACACCCGTAAGTTTGCAGAGAAAAAATGCTATGGAGAAAAGACAAAAGTCATGGCTCCTACACGAATCAGTATTTCACACAATGACAACGTTGGATCTTAAACTGTGTTTTTTGGTACATAAAAGGTTTTCTCTTATGTTGATACAATATTCAAATCTGTCCTCAGTAGACAATTGGATCAAAATCAAGCCAGGGATAAAAGAATCCAATCTACAGCACAGCTTATATCTCAGTTTTGTGTTGTTACACGGCTTTGCTTCTCCTCTATACCCGACTGAGAAAATCTTTTCCGGAGAACTTCTAGAACATTTTCTATCTTTACACCTTTACGCCTTAGCAAAACCATGGCATGGTATATCACATCTGCCATTTCTGAGGCAGTTCGTGAATTGTCCTCTTTCTCCTCTAGAGTTCGGCACAACTCATCTGCCTCTTCCCTGCATAAGTACATACAAATACATGATAATGTGCAAAAGAAAGGCTAAGATGCTAAAGATTTGATAGGCATACAGCTTAGACATTTGCTGAATCTTCACAGGAGGGAAACGAACAACCATGCTGTTCATTAGTGGTTTAACACTGCTTTCCTTGTTTTTTATAAATATAACTAGATCTACTTTCTACAACTTCCCCATGAAAATATATATTAGCCGAGTTAAAACTGACTACATTACCGTATCTTTGAGCACAACAAATTTTCGTCAAGTAACAGCCGTTTAGTCCATGAGGGCTTTCCATGTTGTCCTGCTAACTCTGATTCTCGTTGGGAAATTGTAGACTCTAACGAGTATAAAGTTGTCAGCGCCAAGTTGTTTTCTTCAACCTGCCATTGCAAACTAAGTTCACTTATAAACTTGCAAAATAATACCATATAATGTAACGTGCACTTGTTAAAGATTAGAGCTGCTTACTTCTTGCTCCTCCAACAGATCACTTATTGATGTGAAATAGCAAGTCTCCGAACCTGTGTGGCATGTAGGGCCATCAGGCTTCCCAAGGTAAATTATCTGAAAGACAATTTTCAGTTAAGTCAAACAAAATAAATTAAGCAATCAACAAAAATGTCACATGGTAAGTTGTTTAAAACATACAGAATCACGATCACAATCAACAAAGATGTCATGAACGTCGATGAAATTTTTGGACGTTTCTCCCTTTGTCCACAATGCTGCTCGTGACCGACTGAAGAATGTTGCCTTCCTAGAAGAGATGGTTGTAGCTAGAGCATCCCTGTTGACAAACCCTTGCATTAATATGGCTCCGGTATCAACATTTTGAGCTATAGCCACTGCTAAACCTTTGTCATCCCATTTTATACTGTCCAACAACGTATCAACCTAAAATTAAAATTTTTAGATATTCAGGCCCTCCCACGTAAATGTGTTGTTTTTCCATATATACAAAAGAATTCTGAAAAAAGAAAAGACAAAAAAAAAGCTAAGATACTATATAAAATTCACAATACCTAACCATAATCATGCCTCTGCATGGTGAAAAGTACTACAACATCTTCACAAGTCACTAAACAGATTTTAAAAATCAAGATAGGTTCAACTAATCAGAGCTATGCTCTTTAAGAATAAAATATGGAAAATCAGAAATAATAGAGATAGAGGGCAAACATCTGAAAACAAAGTGGCTTCACTAGTCACCAATCAATAGCTTAGTAAATCCAAGTTGCAGACATAACACAGGTTATGGATGCTAATTAAACAATCATGTGAAAGAAAGCTAATATTCCCAGGGAAATTTTTGTCCACTGATAACAGTAGATGCAGAGCTGTGTAAGAATAAATCTGTACATTCTTTTCAGTATGATATATAAGAAAATCAAAGATGAATATTTTTGCCAAATCTAGTGTCGGATAGAATACAGAGGTGTCAAGAGATGTAGTGTCCAGATGTAGCTCAAGGACTAACTAAACACATAGTACTGGGCAACGATGAACTCCTTCCAGGGATGGAGAACCGACAGATTGGAAACCCAAACCATCAAATTCCTTCCCTATCTTTTATTTTCCAGACATGTAACAATCCCTACCACAATAGATAAGATAGGCATCTGACATATGTCTGGTTAATTCTTAGGTACTAATCGAAACATAATACGTGTAAAAGAAGGCTGCAGTAGGGATTCTAATAACACTATTCACTGTTTTTAGGCATTTAGCTTGGCCTGCAAAATGCCTGATTTGATAATATTCAATACTAATCCTGATAGGATCTGTTGGTTAACCCCCAACCCCATATCCAATCTGTGCTTCTGTAGAATTATTTAGATTACCAATATCTTGGTAGACATAGCACTCAGTTCATTCACATAATACCATAACATTAACAAACAGACAATACTACTAAAATCGGTTGAATGTTTCATCTAAGCACATGCACATCAATACACGTATGACATAAAAAACCAGTACCTTAGATTGAAGGTAGATATCTTTATCTAATTTCCTCGAAGAAGCAAAGACAATAGCATTTATCTTCTTCTTGTTGCTGAATCTGCCACAAACTCCAGCAGAAAACAAGCTGCAGGGTCTGAAAGGAGGTCTTACAGGTTGAATACAAGGGAAAGATGAAACCGCCATCTGAAAGAACAAATGTAAATCCTCTATATTCTAACAATGTCTACATCAAGCTCATCCTGCAAATAAACAAAAAAAAAGCAAAGAACACAACTTTACCAACTACTAAAAAGCCTGAAGAATATTATTCAAAAAAGGACAGCAAGCTTCTTTGAAATGCTAAATTGAGGCAAAAAAGGGACAAATTTTAGTTCACAAAATATGTAGTTGCTCCAGGGCTGTACCACAGCACGAGCAAAAAATAAGCTGAGGCTGAGATTTCCTGGAAAGCAACACACTTTCTATTGCTTCAAGGGAACGAGTCATATGGGAATCAATCAAAATCCACACTGACCAGATTGTGAAGCATTTTAAAGCATATAGAAAAAAAAAAACGGGGGGTGGCCGGGCATACGCTTATAGTTTTGAACTGAGTAAAAGTGTTAGCGAAGGAACGAACCCAAAATGAGAGACACTGTACTTGGATATTCAACTCTCGAACGGCCGCCACACCCTGCACTACACAGTGAAACAACTGCCGTTTTATATAGAGAGTACTTCAGTTGTGGCCTGTGGGTACCCTAGGGTTTTTTCCGTATTAAACAGGAAATTTGATTAAAAAGAAAAAGAAAAGAAAAGGGGAGGGCCTGATTTGGGCCTAGGAGGTCTGTGGTCTCAACTCAAGCGGTTGGATTCCGAGTGGACTCGAATCTTTAACCTTGTTGGACGCACAAAACTCACGCTACAAGGAATCTGCCTCCCTCCCTGCCTCCCTCCCGCAATCCCCAGCCCCAACATTTCCACTATTACTACTATTAATCAAAACAATCACAAAAAAGAAGTGGTAAATTTTTTCTACCTCGTGGTAGTCATGGGGATGGTTATAGGAGTATTTTTCTTTCCCTTTTTCCCCACTTTTCTGGGTTTTCTTTTTTTTTATTACAGTACTTTTGCTACTATAATCAAAGAAAAAAAGAGATAAAATAGCTTATGATTGGATTAATGAATTTCTTTCCTAGAGAGTGAAACAAAATGGGAAAATACATGGAATGAAATATCCCCTGGCTCTGGTGGCAGGCTGTTCACTGTATTGCAGTGCGAGTTGCGTCTCACACTGTTCCTTTCTTCACAAATCACAATTTTATTACAAAACCAAAACCCGAAAAAGAAAAAAGAATCTACTTTTTATGTTTCTGTTTGTATAGTTTTGTGATGGGCACGTTGTCCTTTGGAGATGTGGGCGGTGATTCTCCTGCTCCGCCTCTGCCTCTGCCGCTGTGGGGATTGCCGATGTATGAATGAATCAATCAACCTTCATATCCCTTTTCAATCCCACCGGGACCTTGTGATTTCCTTCTCTGTATCTCTCCCGTCTTTTCCACAGTAAAGGAAGGACAGAAAAAGTTTTTGTGCCCTTTTTGACACAATCAAACTTGTCGCTTGTTCTTCTTAGTCTTCGTCTTCGTGTCCTGTTCTCATTCCTCTTTCCCGTGTTGAATTTGACCCTTCATTTTCGTTTTCATCTCGATCTTTTCTTGCTCTCCGTACTCCCATATATACGTACTTGTCTCTGTGCTTTGATGGGCTTTTGTTGAATGTTGATTATCATTCCTAAAGCCTTCAGCTTTTGATCAATTTAGAATCCTTTTGCATGCTAATTGAAGATTCCTTTTTCATTTCATTTCATTTAGATTCTCAACTGCTTGATTGCGTTTCCTCATTTCTGATTTTGATCTTTACCTTTCTCATAGTTGAAGCTTTTGGGTGTGGGAATCTATGAGATTGGAATTAATCGTACGAAGAGCTTTCCGTTGTAGGTGTGGCAGTTGTGTGGTGGTTTTTTCTTAAAAAATGGACGCTAATCCCACAAAAGCCAAGGAACAGCGAGCACGCGGCTGCAACCCCGTCAAGAAATCCGGACCAGTCACGATGGACCACGTTTTGTTGGCCCTTGAAGAGACCAAGGAAGAGAGGGACCAGAGAATTCGCAGTCTCTTCAATTTCTTTGATTCTGCCAATGCCGGCTTTTTGGACTATGCCCAGATTGAGGCTGGTTTATCTGCTCTCCAAATTCCCTCCGAGTACAAGTATGCAAAGGATTTGCTCGACGTGTGTGACGCTAACATGGATGGCCGTGTGGATTATCAGGAGTTTAGGCGCTATATGGATGATAAGGAGCTCGAGCTTTACCGTATTTTTCAAGCCATTGATGTTGAACACAATGGTTGCATTTTGCCTGAAGAGCTTTATGATGCTCTCCTCAGGGCAGGTAACATTTACTGCTGCATTTAATTTCCTCAATTACTAATTATTTTCTTGTTTCATCCACCACTTCAGCACTCCTTTAGCACTTTTACTCTTCTTTCTATTGGCTGATTTAGTTTCTCTTTGTAAAGATTGTTGGGAGAGTTGACTGTATTTTGTTGTTTACCATAAAATTTTTTCTTCATGTGTAATTACTAGTAACTGGATTTAGCTGAAGAATTATCTTGTTCATACCATGTCTGTGATATCCCTTCTACTGTCTGCCATTTCCCTGGCATAATGGTTGCTGCTAACTGCAAGCAAAGTGAGAAATTCATCCGTATGTAAAATAATCAGACTTTATTCTTTTTCTTTCACGGTATGGCTTGACTTAAATTAGTATACTGACTAATCGGTTTTCTAAATACACAGTTATTGATTACCATGTGGTAGACTAGAACTTGTAGGCACTTGCCTAGTGGAATTTAACTTTTACTGTTTTTGTCATCTAGCAACATCAATTTCAATCTAAGCTAATCCTACTTCTAATTGTTCAAAATGCGCTCTGGTTACAAATTCTTCTTCTTGGCTCTTTTACTTGATTTATGTGATGAGCATAACTGAAAATGCTCGCAGAAAAGGCTTCTCTTTTGGCTGTTTGTTTCATTCTATAAGCCACGCCAGTCTCTCTTTTGTAGGAATTGAAATTGACGATGAGGAGCTAGCTCTGTTTGTTGAACGTGTGGATCAGGATAATAACGGAGTTATAACGTTTAAAGAATGGAGAGACTTTCTTCTTCTCTACCCTCATGAAGCAACTATTGAAAACATTTATCATTACTTAGAAAGGGTATGCCTTGTTGATATCGGAGAACAGGCTGTTATCCCTGAGGGAATTAGTAAACATGTACATGCAAGCAGATACCTGATTGCAGGTGGAGTGGCTGGGGCAGCTTCTCGGACAGCAACTGCACCTCTTGATCGTTTGAAGGTTGTTTTGCAAGTTCAAACTACACGAACACATATCATGCCAGCAATAAGAGATATATGGAGGGAAGGAGGAATATCGGGGTTTTTCCGTGGCAATGGATTAAATGTCTTGAAAGTGGCACCTGAAAGTGCCATCAGGTTCTATACATATGAAATGCTGAAAGAATTTATTATGAAAGCTATGGGGGTAAAAGATAAGGCAGAAATTGGTGCTGCAGGTCGCCTAATTGCTGGTGGCTTAGCTGGTGCTGTGTCGCAGACTGCCATTTATCCGATGGATCTTGTAAAAACCCGATTGCAAACATATTCTTGTGAAGGTGGAAAAATTCCTAACCTTGGAGCATTGTCTAAGGATATATGGATTCAGGAAGGACCCCGGGCATTTTATAGAGGACTTGTTCCATCTCTTCTTGGGATAATTCCTTATGCAGGCATTGATCTTGCTGCATATGAAACTTTGAAAGATATGTCCAAGAAGTATATTCTTCAAGACAGTGGTATGATTTTATGGACCCTAATTTAGATGCCTTTTTCCTTTCATTTTGCTTCTGTCTTTATTGTTCTTGTTATTCATGTTTTTCTTAATGAATTTGGCTAAGTTCTCTCTTTTTACACTGGCTTCAGTCTCATCAATTTCTTTGCACATCTGCCTTCATCTTATTTTGAAAATTCCAATTATCCTTGTAGAACCTGGTCCTCTTGTGCAACTGGGATGTGGCACAATATCTGGAGCTCTAGGGGCAACATGTGTCTATCCATTGCAGGTTGTCCGAACAAGGTGAATCAGGCTTTTCATTCGTAAGTAAAACCTTTTCTTTTTGGGATTTAATGCTATGAGCCTAATCCTAATTCTGCTTGTGTCTTTCAGAATGCAGGCTCAGCGCCGCCCTAATACTGGTGCTGCTTACAAGGGAATGTCTGATGTGTTTAAGAGAACATTTCAACATGAAGGGATTAGGGGTTTCTACAAAGGATTATTTCCTAATATGCTCAAAGTTGTTCCATCTGCAAGCATCACATACCTGGTTTATGAGAGCATGAAAAGGAGTCTGGATCTGGAATAACAAGTTTTGGTACTGTGCGGAACCACGCCGGTGATTGACATTGTCATGTGTATAGTTGGAGTGGTGGGGATGGTGATGAAAAAGATTGTTTAAGAGAATAAGGCTACTAATTGAGTAGATTATAGCATTGTTTTAGATTATAATACACATGCCATTCTAGCATGAAATACACTGCAAGGGCAAAATTGGCTTGCCTGTCATTCTTGACAGCTTGAAGCTTCTTCAAGCTTTATTTGCGTTGGTTGATTGTTCTATGATAAAGAAGTATACAGAAAAACTTCACTTGAAGATCGATTTTGTAATTCTTTTCTTGGCTGCAATTTTATCACAAATTGCTATGCCATTAATAAGTCTGCATCTGTTCCTCTTCACCAATTACACATGCCAGTGGTTACTACTTACTGATTATTTCTATCACACTGCCACTAAGGTTTGTTCCTCATCTCATTCAGTGGAATAAGTTAAGTTTTGGCAAGTAGGAGCATGATACATGAGATGTTTGATGTTGAACTGAACTGCTATGTTCCCCACAAGAAGCCTTTGGATGAAAGTTTCATATTTTCAGAAGGAAAAGAAAAGGGTTCATTCCTTGCTTGCCCAAGAGAGGAAAAACAGCAGAGACAAATGAAGGACATTGGGCGACTTCTCTCAGAATCAGAGAGAAGTATTTTTTTTTTTTGAAAATTTGCTTTAATAGCAAAAATGGGGTTTAACCCCATTACAATATTGAGGCCTGTGGTTCTTATACCAAGTCACTGGAAGGGTAGCACAACCTCGTGCAAAAACTTCAATTCTGAAACACAACCTCACAACAATCAAAAAGTGGGAACCATAAACAACCTCCAGACCATCTGATTATATTCTGGAAGCTAACAACTCTCTATCAAAACTGCCCTCCTGTTCGCCATAAGCATCTGAGTCTGCGACTATCAAACAAAATACCTATGCTCCTGGAAAAATCACAACATATGGGAGACTATTCCATCGCTACATACCAGATAACCAAACCAGGTGACATATACTTGTTAAAACAGCTAAAACAGCCTCAATGTAGAGCAAAATTTGAAAAATTAAACACCAACCTTATGTACAAATATTTAGAAGATCGTTCTCCCTTCAAACTTCATCTTTGACCAGTTGATCTGCAACACCATTTGCATTCCGTAATGTGTGTATAATCTTTTCTTTTTTTTTTACCTTTTTTTTAAGAGACTCAATTTAAAGTATTCACTTTCTATATTTCCATGGCATGTTGCTCGGTTCAATAACCCATTTAATTGCATTTGTAGAATCACTCTCAACTATCAAAGAGTAAAGAGTCCTCCCATTTAGATTATACAAAGACTGTAAACTCTTCTAATACTGCACTAAGTTAGCAAACTTTGCATCATGCATTCCTATAGATTTTGAAAAAAAATAGCTTAAAGTCTCAGCCAACTCATTCTTCAAAACCCTTCCTATATCTATCTTCCCTGGTTCTCCTTAGTAGCCCCATCAACATTAGGCCTGCTCTTATAACTCAACGATGACGCGTTTTAATTACTTTCAATCATATAGAAGTATAATGATTTTTTATAGAATTAAATCATGAAGTGGTAAGGTTTCGAACGGCAAAAACCACCAAAATTATAAACATGGCTAAAATCATCAAGTGGTAAGCAATCAAATGGTAAATCATGAAGTCATAAAGTATTGAAGTGGTAAGGTACCAAACGACAAACGGCAAATTAAGGGTCGAAACGGCAAACACAACCAAACTCATAAATGGTACTAAAATCAATTTTTATGCAAAGTGAAACTTGGTAAATCTTTAAAGTGACAAGGTACCAAACAATAAATGTCGCTAAAAAAATTTAAGTAATAAACAATAATATGGCACCAGGCAATAAATCATGAAGTGGCAGTGGTAAGGCATCAAACAGCAAACACCACCAAAATCATAAACATTACTTAAATCATCAAGTGGTAAGGTACTAGAGGGAAAAGCATGAAGTGATCAAGTATCAAATGGCAAATGTAATCAAAATCATGAAGTGGTAAGGCACCAAAAAGTGGAAACTCAACCTTTCTAAAGTCTTGGGCTTAAACTGATTAAACTTATACTTAGCAGTATGATTATCTACATCAGGCTTGGGCTTACATTCATTGTGAGGCCCAAAAACCCAACCCCTACAAAGGAAATGTAGCTAAATATATTGTAATTACAATATTTATTTTCTCTAGTTGCCTCCTCCTCGACACCTTAGAAGTAAAATCAGAAGGTTAGAAGTTTGTAACAATGTTTGTGTCTTTGTTTCTGGGCAAAAACAAGAGGACAGAAGTTTGGTCTGGGCTTCAAAGGCTGGGCCTAAGCGGGTTTATGTGTCCGCCCGCACCCCGCCTTAAGAAAGCAAAGAGAAGTAGGAAAGGTGAAGGGCAACCAGTTCCCGCATTCGCATGGTTTCTACTCTTCCGCTCTGCTGATAAACACTGCTTTCGCATCGGATGGTCTCAAGGTTTCTCGTAAGGCATCCAGCACTAGCAGCCTCCGAAAATGGTCTGTCCCAAGTTTTTCTTTATGTGTTTTTTTCCCCTTTTTTCTGGTTATCCTATTCTTGCCTTTGATTATGGCCTACTCTTTCATAGTTTCATGGTGCTGATTTCCAATTCCTTTGCTGCTTTTTTGGTTGCTTGGAAGGTTTATGGAGAAATAGAAAATTCTATGACTTTTTCTGTTTCACTTCTTGCTGTCGTTTGCTCTGAACTCGAACTTAGCTAGATAGGATGGAAACACTTGTTTGGGTTTTTTGGCCTTGTTGGGGGTTTATGATTTTTCGATTAATTTTCTGATATGGGTTTCCCTTCTGGGGTAGTTTTATATTGTTTTTAATGGAACCTGAGTTTTGGGGTGTTAAAATGTGATGTTAGGTTCTCCAAAACGACGTTGATTTGTTGAATCCTCCGGCAGAGCTTGAGAAGAAGAAGCACAAGCTCAAGCGTCTCGTTCAGTCCCCCAATTCTTTCTTCATGGTAATTTTTGGCTTTCTTTCTTTTCATATCGTATTTGCTCTTCCTGGTTGATTGTTTGAATAAATTTGTTGCCTTCTAGGATCTCTGAGAAATTTTCCTTACCACAAATTTGATGTACCCTGAAAAGTTTTGACCTTTTGATCTGTGTGTATTTGTATATGCTGGATTAACTTGTTCTTTTGATCTTTGTGAAGGATGTGAAATGTCAAGGCTGCTTCAACATGTAAGTTCATATTATCCGATTTCCGTTTTTATGTTTAGATTTTGTTTTGAAGTATATATGGGGTTTCATTCTCAATTTTCTGCTTTATAATTTGCAGAACCACTGTATTTAGCCACTCTCAAACTGTTGTGGTGTGTGGTAACTGCCAGACGGTTTTGTGCCAGCCTACTGGTGGTAGAGCTAGACTCACAGAGGGATGCTCTTTTAGGAAAAAGGGGGACTGATGGCGATGATTGGAAGTGTTTCAAATGTTCTTGAATGGGAATGGAAGTGGCTGTGCCTTATGATGTGTTTATTATTAGGTTTTGATGAGACTTTGTTATGCTTTTGATCTAGAATCGTTTAATGTAGGGGATGGTTTTGTTTCAATGAATGTTTTAAGTTGATGCATTATCTTGGTTCGTTAATCCTAATTTATCTTCTTTGCTACTGGTTCGAATTTCTACCCATCTAGGTTCGAATGATAGAGCAGGTTTCAAAATTCGAATATCTTCATTTGATTGTGCTGGCTCTAGATTTGCTGTATTATTTTTGTGCACTTGAGAAACATTTAGCCTTGCCAGGTGGTTCCTTCAGCTCAATGTGGTGCTACGGGTTATCTTGTTTGCAAAGAGTGCTGTCTTTCCTAGGCTGCGCTGCATATGTCAATGGCCTATCGGCAAATAGCAGGGTGAAGTTTGTTTTCATGCAAGAACTGCTGAGTAAAACCTTTTCATATGAGATTTAGAATGAAGGCTACTTGAGAATTTTGAACTTGAGATGTTTATGTGGTTTGGCACGGTTGATTTCTTGTGCAAAATCAATTGTAATGTTCTGTCATTGACATTGAGAAGCCATGCATTTATTGTTATGCTTACGGATTCACAAGCTGTGCTTGGAGAATGGTTTGGCAGCTATGGTTTTTTGGACCTTGGCAAAGGAGTTGCTTGTGGTGGTACTACAAGAGAATTGCTTTTGTTCCAAATCTTCTACCTAAGAAACTCTATTCTATATTACGATATTAACCAAAAATGATGTAGATCGATACAATAAATATAATATAGGTACAATAAGATGTGATATATGTTTGACTTTTATAGTTTAATTACTTCAGATTTTATTTAGGTATGATATTTAAAAAAAATTTTAAATTATTCAAGCAAAAGTATTTTTTTTATTACATTAAATCAAGTTAATCATATAAATTCTAAGGATTAATAGTTGATTAATTGACATTGATGTTATGTTGTCATCATTTATTATAACATGTTATCATGTCACGTTAGCATTAAGTTGCCTGCCTTTTGACATGTTAACATGTCACGTCAACACAATTTTGTATTTGATTAAATGTCAATCTTTATTCATACAGACTTATTTGATTTAAAATAAAAATATAAACACTTATTTAAATTTTTTTAAATAATTTAGAGACATTATTAGATATAATGTCTTTTATTTATTTATTTTAGTTAAAATATAAAAATTACTTTTTATGGTTAATTTTAAGATTTAGATTACAGGCAATAGAATATATTAAAAAAAATCATATTCATACTTTTGATTTCACTGCTTCTTAATTTTTAATTAATAAATTAACATTTTTTATTTAAAAATATATATTATTAAAAATATGTTGAAAGTTTGAATTAAAAAAAATAATTATCTTTGTACATATTATTTGTAATTAATTTTCAAAATTCATTTATCAGATCATAAAACTCTATACTT